GAGGATTCTCTCCAGATGGGGGCGATTGGAAAACCCCAAAAGGATGAAATTTCCCTGGGTGCTCTCGTTGGTTCCATCCATCTGTACTATACCTGAGAAGGAATTTTGATATGAATAAAGGTTACAGCCGATACAAGGGAGCACTTAACTATGAGCCAAGCCTTCTTCCACGCTTTTTACATTTACTTACTCCATTAACCCCAACAAGAATGATACCAAGTTGGCGCTCCTATTATCCCTGACTTACAGAGAAAAGGAAATTGAGGCAGATGTGTGCTAGGTAACTTACCATATTCTAGAAAGAGGCAGAGCTGATTCTGAACCCAGGAAATGGGGCTTGGAGTCTTTACCCTTCACTGTTGGTACTGCCTTTAATTCCAGTGACAACAAAGATACATCCTGCCCTGGCCCAACTATTGATTCTTCTTGAGACACAAGTTCCTAAGTGCCTGCAAAAATCTCAAAGGCCTCAAATGAAGTCCATGAAGAGCCATTTAATAGTATTTAGGACGTATCAATTATATGCAAAATACCCATCTACTCTTTATCCCAAAGACACACTTTATTCATTTGATCATGATTCCTAAGCTAATTTAAATACCAGAGTAGATAAATAACGTATGAGACAAGAAATTATTACTAAAGCAGTATGCACATAAAATTAATCTCCCTCCCCCCCGCCCCCAACCCTTCATCTCTCTCTCTCTCTCTCTCTCTCTCTCTCAAATAGGTCTGGTATGGAAGAAATTTTTTTTCCTTCCAAAATACTATATACTGCTTGAGTAAAAAAATAATCATGAAATTTTGTAATGGATAATACAACTTACTTTCTTTTTTTGTGGGGTGGGGGAGGTAATTAGGTGTACTTATTTATTTTTAGAGGAGGTACTGGGGATTGAACCCAGGACCTTGTGTATGCCAGGCATGCGCTCTACCACTGGATAATACAACTTTAATGCAATGATTCACATATACGTGCAGAAACGCCCATCAAATTGCAATTCCAAGAACGCATCACATGCAAAACAAAGTACATTTGAGGACACAGACCATAAGTCTTACAGACAAATACAGAGGAATGAATTGAAAGCATCTTGAACTGCTCTCCCAATCTCCCTGGTTACAGTCCCTCAGCCAACAAGATAGAATTATGAGATCTTAGAAGGCTCATTTACCTTCACATAGTTTTCTCATCTAAAATGGTAATAATCAAACTACCTTATTTACTTCCAGATATGTTCTTATATTTGTATTAATATGAAAGAAAGTTGGTAAGTATTTATATTTATTGTATAACTGTAAACATATGACTTACATATAAAACACATGGCATACAAACAGAATTGGAAAATAAGTCCATGGGACTCGGCAGGGAAATTCAAAAGAAAACAAAAAAATTCTAATGAGGAGAAA